AAACCAAACAACCAGGTAAAAAAGTAAGATCTTTTTTTTTTTTTTATATATATATATATATATTTTTTTTTTTAATTTGTATTATGGAAAGTGGTTGTCTTCATGGCTTTTTCATTAAGGGCAAATTGTTTCGTTGAATAAATGAGCCGTTACAGTGGGGTAGGTTCTGGGGGTAGGGCTTCCATGGCTCCTGATTTTATTTACACAAAGGCAGATGTTAGTTTCCCATTATACTCATTCTGTCTTGGTTTCTGTCTTGAGGTACTAGGGCTTATTGATAGCAACTAAATCCAGTATTATGTTTATTCTGCAGCATTGTTTTCCATTGGCTTTATTATTTCATGTATTCACTGGATATGGTTTATCAGGTTCATGACATAATTTCATTAAGGACTTGCTGCATTTCTCTTAGGTGGGTACTGTGACCTAAAGAACGGTATAGATAACATTTTGTTCTCATTATAACAATCAGTGTGTGTAATGTAGCTGCATTTCACGCACTTGAGTTAGCTATATTATGGAACTGGGAAGACTTTAAAAACTTTATCATTTGCTCCTTTTTCACAAGTCACATACCTATTGAATTTATGTCCTGCCTTAATGTACAGCACTTTAAATATTTAGAAATACAATGAATTAAACTCTCCTTGTACTTTCTTTTCCTCATGCATATAGTTGCTTAATTTAAAATACAGTCAAACTGGAATGCAAATAAAAAGGAGAACTAGTGACAATGAAGTGTAAATCAAGATGTTCTAACTGGCTCAGAAATGAAGCTGAGATTAAAAACCAGACACAACAAACAAACAAACTTTAATGATCTCCTTTAAAACATTCAAAATGTAATTATCCTGAAAACCTAGGAATAATTTCCAAAGGTCAATTATGTCTGTAAGCTATATAAAACCATTTAAAAATTGTAATGTTAGCATTAAGAGCTTTCTCTAGGTCAGCAGTCTTCATATTGTCTTTCTTAGATATATGGTTTATTGATTATTCTCAAAGTTACTGAGTCTAGGTTTCATAGAGTGCTTCTGTTTGATAGCTGAAAATCCAGAATGAATAATGACACATTTAATATACTTGGCTATCTTGCTGCTGAGATAACTACAGTACTTTTTTTATAGATGTTATACTAATGTAAATATGATAACCCTTTTATTTCTTATTTCTCAAAGGGGCATTCTTGCACCTTGCAATTTAGTATTTTCCCAGCAGGGGGAGATATCTACTGAGAGAGAGCATGTGAGAGAAAACACATGAAAGAAAGAATTGAAAGTACAAAGTATAGTGAAACAAAGAAAAAATATGAGGTGTTTATTTCTGGGTTTTCAATATGTGCCAAATCTGTATTTCAGAAAACTAGTAGGACTGAGTAAATTTACTCTGTTTTGGTTTCTTCTCTGTGTTACTCGATCTAAGTGCACCTGAATGTTTAAAACGATGAAGGTGTGTTGTCTGTGGGAGCTGTAGAGAATGCTAATGTTGGATTCACACCAGATACCTGGCATTATCCTTCAAAACACCATCTGTCAAGCTTTCTAGAGATGCATTTTACATTTTTACGTATGATGGCTATTGAAACAGTTTCATTCAAGAGAGCAACTAGTTAAAGCAACAGGAACAGTGATACTTGTTACTTTAGTGTAAATGTCAGTGATGAAGATTTTTCCCCTTGGTAGGGAAGCATGTATGACAGGCATAATTTTTTTCTGGAGGCCTTTCGGATACACCGGATAACATCCAAAAGGGAACAGTAAGAGGGGAAAAAGACAGTCCTCTATAACATTGAGTTTCCATCTGTTTATCTGTTCTTTGAAGCCAGGGTTTCCAAATCTGTTTTTTTTTTTCTCTCTCTCTTTGAAAAACAATATATGAAGATCTTCATATTTAGTGATATCTGACAACTATTATTTTATATTTATCATTCCCCTTGATTAGCAACAGATTCCAATTATTGTTTTCTTTTTTTCCTTCAAGGTTGAAAGCTGACAGCATTCATTCTGTTTTGAAAGTGCTGTGATTTTTTTCTTGTCAGTTGCTAGCACCTAGAGCTGACAATAGACAAGTTTCTGTGGAATCCTTAAAAAGGCAGACAGCAGACAAATAATTCCAAAGTACAAATTTCAGTTCAGGACACATTATCAAATGACAGATATTTTTGTTTCTTCAAAGACTATTCAAAAGATGATGATGCGCGTCTTTCACTGTGTTTAGCTTATCTAAAAGGTGACTAAGTACTTTTCCCCCCATGTTCTTTTTCCCCCATAGGTAGGAAAGAGGCTCTTGCACACAGCTGTGTCAGGTTGCAGAGCCCTCTTAAACCTTGTTTAAGCTTGTGGGGACTGAGAGCACTCTGCACAAAACAGAAATACAGAGCACTTTTATTATATTACTCTAAAGCCTAAAGACCCCAGTCAACATTGAGATCTCCATTGTTCTAGGTCCAGTATATAAACATAGGGCAGTTGTCACATTAAAGAATTTTGTCTTACCCAGTACCTCAGAAAAAAGGTGCCAGGGTGGAAGTAATGGGTAAATTTTAGAGCTGGGTGGCTGAGGTACAGAGAAACTGAGTTGTCCAAAATCACAGAGGATATCTGATGTGGAGCCTAGAAATGAACCTGGGTCTCCTAACACTCAATGCAAAGCCATAAACTAGAGTCTATTTCGCTTATGAATATTATCCCTTTTGTGTTAGAACAACTCCTGTGTCATTATCACAGTATTAGAGATAGAAAAGATTAACTGCAAGTGGTTTGTTAGAAAAAGCTGATGAAACATGGATGGTTAGTAATTACTTGCCTAATTCTGTAGTACCCTATTTGCTCTTTCTATTGAAATGTGTCAAACGGTTTATTAAAAATGTGATTTAACCTGTTATAAAGAAAGTGAAACCTATGGAAATTGTGGTTGCTTTCCATAACCCAATGTCCAGCAAAATGTGAATTAATGGGGGGTTTGTCCATATTAAGTGAACTATGCTATATGGCCATCTGCAGAATAACTCCATTCCTTTACAGGAAACTTCAATAGACTTCACTGTAAAGTGACTATAATTAACTTCTTTGGTTGCTGTTGTTAAATATCACTGCTTCTAGTATTCAGTGTTGCCCATTAATATATATAAGTGTAGACAATACATGCTAAAACTAAAACCATCCTATGAATAGGTAAAAGAAATTTTTGACCTGCACCTTCAGTATAAAATGCTTGTCTGTATGATAGTAGCACTTATGGGGCCCGTTCAAGAAGCAAGATCTGATTGTGGCAGAAATTGTACCTACTATAGGTAATCATGCAATACAGGTAATGCATGCACCTTAAATATTTTGAATAATTATAAATAATCATGAAGATGATGAAAATATCCATGGGAACATGAAGATAAACTTATAGGACTTATGCCACGTAACTGTGGCTGATGAACAGCAATGTAGTTGTCTAAAAACTTTTTGGTTTTTGAAAACTTAAGTTTTCCTCCTTTTTCCTTATCATTATTTTCACTGACACACAGTGGGCACTGACAGAAGTGACATTTGTTGCACGATTGGTCCCCTGAAAGAGCATTATAGCCATTCGCTGACAGAAGCGCATGGTTGCAGAGCACTTTAAAAGTGCAACAAATTAACCCCCATCTGAGGGTTCAGGTGAAGGTGCTCCAAAGAGGAGCACCTTTATTAACTTCTGTCAGCCTTGGGGCACAATTGGGGCTGGGCTGAAGTAGCCTGGCCACACCCTGGGTGTTATTTGCAGGATAGGAAAGGGGAGAAGGGTGGGAAGGGAGCTCCAGGATGGGGTTTAACCAGCTTCCGCTGTAGTGGGGGTGGATGGACTGGAGTCCCCCTGCCTCACAGCTC